AATAAAGCACGGGCGTTCCACGCCACGGACTGCAGAACCTTGTTTTCGCCCGCACCTGGCAGCAGGAATAAGCCCGCGAAAACGTCAAAGTCACCACTTGGTTTGTGGAGGGGGCGCCACAATAGATCGCACATTCTCAGAGAGGGTGCGACTGTCGAGTCCGAGCACCTGAATCCCCACATAATTCCATGTGATGGTCGGTGGTTCATCTCCAAGTTGGGCATCCACTTTGAGTACATCAGCGAAGTCGGCCTTGAGCACACCACGCTCTTTGTCCGTGAACCTGCGGTAGTGCCCGTGGGGCTTCTCTGAACTTCACGAACCTCTCGCGGCGAGCGTCCTGGCTGCCCCCACTGAGGGAGGCCGATCGCGTCGGAAAGCTCGTACGGCTGCCATCAGAAAACATAGCACTAGCCCGCCTGGACATGCCTCATTTACCCGCGCGAACCGACGCTGGTGCGGACAAGATTGAGTCGTTCCACCAGGAGCTCACAGAACCAGGTCTGGCCTCGGGCTAGATTTATCCCTTCTCTGCCCGAGGGACGCAAGCATTTTGAGCCAAAACAGCTACGGAGGAGGAGGAGGAGGAAGCAGAGAGAAGGAGGGAGGGAGAGAGGAGGAGGAAGGACGGATGAGATGGAGGGGGAGATAGAGGAAGATGGGGAGATAGAGGAGGCATGGGGGGAGAGAAAGAGAGAGAGGTAGAGAGAGAGAGTCAACAAAACATAAAGAAAGAAAGAACGAAAGAACGAAAGAGAGATAGAGAGAGAGACACAAGAAGGATGAGGAGAAGAAGGACCAGCCTCGACAGCGTTCGAGGTCAACGACGAGCACACCGACTTGAACCCTTACGGCCTGGCCTTGGACGCCTGCCCACGCGAGAAAGAGGAGTGAGAGAGGAGGAAGGAATAGGACGAAAGAGAGAGAGAGAGGAGGGAGGAGAGAGGGGAGGGAGGAGGCAGTTGAGAGGCAGAAGATGGGGAGAATACGAATACTAAGAATACGCATAAGACTAAAAAGAGGAAGGATACCATCAACATGATGGAGGAGATGGGCCTGAAATGCGCTCTACATGATGTCAGAGTTCTTTTTGATGCCATAGAAGAGGCTCTACCTCTCTCCCTCAAAACATAGGTATAGATATGTGTCTCTCCTCTTTCTCTCCGGACCTCTCCCTCTATATATACAGATTACACGCAGATGAAGCGGGCATATCAAGAGAGAGCATGCACCCCAAGGACGAACACCTGTTACTGGTAATGGTACCTGAGCAAGCGCGTTCCACTACTCGCAAAGTCACTATCGCAAATGGCTTGGATCCGCCGTGGGGGATTTACGATACATTACATCGAAGCGAACATGGCTTTTATTACGCTTGCGAGTAGCAAATTTGCGAGTAGTAGAACGCGCTCGGGGAATACCTGCTATCGGAAAGAGGCGCTGCAGCAGCACCATGCCTGGCAGCGCCTGGGGCAGCGCGGCGACTGGCGGGGATGGCCAGAAGATGGCCCGATTTGCCAGGAAGCTCATATCTGACGAGGCACACCGAGTCAACGTGCGCATGCTGAGGCATTTTGTGTTGTGCACCGACTCTCGCAGCGCTCGGAGCGCGCTCGCGAAGGCGAGCCGGTGGTTCGAATCCCGGACGCTCACGTCCTCGAAGAAGTCCTGCAGGCGGTCGGCGTACAGCCGCTTGATCTGCTCGACGTTCTCAAAGAGCCCGAGCAGAACGGACTCATACTGCACCAGGCTGCCCCCGTCCAGGGACCTTCGGCAGACGCTTATTGCACCCAAGGTCTTACCTCCCCCCCCTCTCGGGGGGGCGAGGGACGAAGAAGGGCGAGAGAGGGCTGGGAGAGGGAGGGAGGGAGGGACGGAGGTGGGGAGGGAGGGAAGGAGGGACGGAGGGAGGGAGGGAGGAAGGGAGGGAGGAAAGAAGGGAGAGAGGGAGGGACGACGAAGGGGAGGAGGAATGAAGGGAGGGAGGAGGATGGAGGAGGGAGTGAGACATGGAGGGGGACAGGAAGGGAGGAGGGAGGGAGGGAGGGAGGGAGGGGGGAGGGAATTAAGGACGAGGAGAAGTATGGATAATAAGAACAATAAGGATGTTAGCCAGATTGGACCCCAAGCAGTGACAGATTGCACGATGGAGATGAAACAGACGCGCTGGAAACTATGGGGTGCAAGTAATTTCTGTTCGGAGTGAGTTGTCCACTCCACTGCTCGCGCAAACATCCCACCCACCAACCGCAACTTGGCTTGCAAAATCTCTTAAGACCGTGACGGTGGGTACCAAATGGCACTTGGCAGCGAAAGCGACGCCGACGACGACAGCGACAACGACGACGACGACGCCGCCGACAACGACTACGACGACACCGACGACGTCTCCAACGACTTCGACGACGCCGACAACGACGACGACGACAACGACGACGACACCGACGATGACGACGATGACAACGACGACGACGATGACGACGCCGACGACGACAACAACGACGACACCGACGATGCCGACGACGACGTCAACGATGCCGACGACGACGACGACAACGACGACGGCGGCGACGACGACGACGCCGACGTCGACGACGACGAAGACGACGACGACGCCGACGCCGACAACGACGACGAAGACGACGACGACGTCGCCAACGAAGACGACGACGAGGGAGGAGGTAGGACGAAGACGGCGCCAACGACGACAACGACGAGGGAGGAGGGAGGACGGCGACGACGCGAACGACGAAGAAGGAGGAAGGACGGCGACGCCGACGACGACAACGACGAAGGGGAGGGAAGACGACGACGACAACGACGACGACGACGAGGACGACGGCCACGAAATAGGAGGGACGACGACGAGGCGCCGACGACGGACGACGACGACGACGACGACGAGGGAGGAGGAGGAAGGATGACCACGGCGACAACGACGACGGAAACGACCACGACGCCAAAGAGGACGACGACGACGAACACGAGGAAAGACAGAGGAGGACGTAGGCGACGACGACGACGACGCGGAGGAGGGAGGACGGCGACGACGACGACGACGACGACGACGCAAGAGCGCGCGCGCACGCTTTTGTTGAAAATTCGTGTTGCGAAACCTTGTGTTTTTGTAGGTTTTTTGGACACACGATTTTGAAATCCTTCCGAAACCGATGGGTTGTGAATGATTTCGGCATACGCGCGCGACGACGCGCGCGTCTGCACTTCGTCCAATTTTTTGCAGAGGATTCTCGCGACGGCACACGCGCAAGGGCGTTCGACAGATTTCGACATGCGCGCGCGCGAAGCCCGTTTGGTAGAATTTTGTGAAAATATTGAAAAAGCTCGGATTCTCTTAAGATTTCGCAAGAGCTCTCGCGTAAGCTTTTTTAGCAAATCAGTGTTGCGAAACCATGTGTTTTTGTATGTGTTTTGGAAACTCGATTGCGAAATCCTTCCGACACCGAAGGGTTTTGAAGGATTTCGGCATGCGCGCGCGACGACGCGCGCGTGTGCACTTCGTCCCATTTGTTGCAAGGGATTCGTGAAAAAGTCTTACGTTAAAACAACAAATGTCCCCGCGTATTGTTTTTACTAGGGCACCTCAGAGGTAGCGATACCGGCCCCCTGGGATAGTGCAAATTCATATTTAGGATGGACATGTGGTCAGAGTCACATATGATTGACATACCCGAAAAGGGGGGGATAACGCCGGGGGGGGTAGAGTCTATTCTCTTGTTAGAAAGGAACCTATATCGTGTAAACAATGTGGTGCGAGCTGTAACCCAGCACACGAAGCGGCCACGTGGCCGCCACGAGGCGGCCACGTGGCGGCAACGTGGCGAAACCTCGCTGGACCCACGCATGGCACGAGGCGGCCACGAAGCGGCCACGGGCGGCAACGTGGAAAATCCTCGCCGGACCCACGCATGGCACTGGTCGGCCACGAGGCGGCCACGGGCGGCAACGTGGAAAATCCTCGCCGGACCCACCCATGGCACTGGTCGGCCACGAGGCGGCGACGGACGGCAACGTGGAAAATCCTCGCCGGGCCCACCCAGCGCACGAGGCGGCCACGAGGCAACCACGGGCGACAACGTGGCGAAACCTCGCCGGACCCACCCAGCGCACGAAGCGGCCACGAGGCGGCCACGAGGCGGCCACGGGCGGCAACGTGGAAAATCCTCGCCGGACCCACCCAGCGCAGGAGGCGGCCACGAAGCGGCCACGGACGGCAACGTGGAAAATCCTCGCCGGGCCCACCCAGCGCACGAGGCGGCCACGAGGCGGCCACGGGTGGCTACGTGGAAAATCCTCGCCGGAACCATCCAATTCCTAGTGCATGCACTGTTTGAGGAAGAAGAACAAGACGAATACGAGGAGGAGGAGGAAGGAGGAGGAGGAGGAGCGGCAGCCCATCATTAGGCGGGCCCCCTATCCCTGCGGCCCCTGACGAGAATTTGGCTGCGCACGCATGGCGTGGAGCCCACTGTCGCCAGCTTCCGCTCGCCTTCCGCCGGCGAACCTGCTGCAGTCTTACTTCCGCCGCCTTCCGCCAACCTCCCGCCACCTTCTGCCGAGAAAGAGATACAAACTCATCAGCCCTCTCTGGAACGCCCCCGCTGGGATGGAAAAGCGAGAAGGGAGGAAAAGCGAGGAGGGAGGGTTGCAAGGTTGGAGGCAGGGACGGATGAAAGAGGGGGAGTGGGGGGAAGGGAGAAAAGAAGAGGGGAGGGGAAGGAACATGAGGGAATGAGGAAGGGAGAGGGTGAAGCGAGGGCGGGACTGGAAGGGAGGACGGAATGACGAAGACTGTGAGGACATTGGGTGGACGTACAATAACATGGGGAGTACGATGAGGAGGATGAGGACGAGGGGGAGGAGGAGGAGGAGGATCAGGAGGACGACAACGACGACGAGGAAGGGAGCGCGGGGAAGGGAAATGGCCCAGCGTGGTGGACATGGCGGAGGCCCCTGACCTCAGCCACACGCTGACGTCGAGGTCAGCAAGATTCTTGGCGCTCGCCTCACCGGGCCAGCCCACAGTTTGACCCCGCCCTGCCCGCGCCGATCCGCCTGGGCCGCCCCACCTGCAGGGCGGCCCTTCAGCTTTCCAGCAAAAAACCTCAAACGACTTGTCCCTGGAAGCCTCCAGGGGGTGCATCCTGGCCAGCTTTTCATCCGAGACCGACTCACGACGGCCGCGGGGCCCGATGGATGGCCTCTGACGCCGCTGTTTGGGAAAACGTCCAGCGCGAACTGTTCCATCCGTGTCCTCCTCCAACCCCTCCTACCCCTCTTCCTCCTCTTCTTCCTCCTCCTCATCCACCTCCTCCCTCCTCCTTCCCCCTCAGCAGAATCATCACCATCATCATCATCATCATCTCTATCACCACCACCACCATCACCAACATCATCATGATCACCATCGCCATCAACAGCATCACCATCATCGGCACACTCAACATCATCATCAAGCTCAGCATCACCACCATCAGCATCATCAACATCATCATCATCGTCATCATCATCATCGTCATCATCAGCACCATCACAATCCTCATCATCGTCACCAGCATCACCATCCACATCATCATCAGCATCGCCATCCTACTCACCACCACCATCATCACCACCATCAGCAGCAGCAGCGACAATATTTTGCCTGAAGATTCATAATCCCTGCAATATGGTCCGTTGATGTATCATGGTCAGTGGGTTTCGCCGATGACATGGAGGAGAAAAGATAATGCCGCCAAGCATGCAATAGGGTAACCCTGAAGGGAGGAGGCTGGCCCGCCGGCCGACGCACGCGCGCGCGCCGCAGGCTCGCTCCTTTTCTGTCTCCCTAGAGCCAAGCAGCCACAGCTAAAACATCCAAGTCAAGAAGAAAGAGAAGCAGACAATGCAAGCAAGGCTAGAGAGCAGGACGGGCAGCAGGATGGTGGTGCGGAATGAGTGCATTGACTCCCCCCGCGGCGAGATCCGTAGAGTCGCCCCGACCCCCAACCCACCTGGCCTGCACGCATGCACAGCCTCTAGAGCGAAACCCAAAAGCATTTTACCGCTCAAGGGTGCTTGCCAGGGGGCGGAAGACCGAAGTGACCCGACGAACCCTGCCTGAGCTAATGTTTGGCAGCTCAGGCCACAATGCCCATGCACACCTGGTGCACCCGATTCATGATGAACTATGGACCGGCATCGACAAAGTCGCACTGGTCCTTCTTGTACTGCGCAATATCTGCCAATCATTCCTCCAATCTCGAGAATCGTCCCAGGGGTCACTGTTGCGCCACTTCCACTGGAACTGATCTCTTGAATAATTGTCATGTCTGTCTCTTCTTCTGCTCGAATTCCAGCTGTCTGACTGGTCATCGCCCTGGCCTTTCTCGGCCGGCCTCGCCTCCGGCGCAGGTGGTGGCGGAGGCTCTGGCAAGGTGCTTGGCGCCCAAGGATCACGTTGAAACTTGTCGCTGTAATCGTTCAAACTAACACATTGCCAAGTTTTGGTATGACCAGTGACATTCTGATGGCGAGTCACATGAAAATAATATCCTTGTACTTCCTCATTATCATTCTTGTCCTCGCGGCCCAGCGCCGCGCCCAGGCCGCCATCGCTCGCGCGGCCGCCCGTTTTTACAACGGGCTCATCTTCCCACGACTGGATCCGATCAGTGTCAATCCAGCCGGCGATGCTGCCCGACGCGGCTGGGCTGGCGGGCACGGGGATATAAGGAGCGGTCCTCTAGGATTGCCTCTCCGCCCGATTTATCGGTCTCCATGATTCACGAGGGTGCCGCCGGGCTCTCAGCCCCGAGGCGGCAGCGCCGCTCGGGGAGCTGGCTTCAGCTATCATGACTGCGGCATCTGCTGGTGAGTCAGCTGGGATGGTCTCTGTGGGAGAATCGGCTGGGCCGCTCTCCTCCTTTTTCTTATTGAGGCAATTGGTGAGACCAATGGCGTTGTCTGCGCTGAAGAATCCAAAACGGCTGTTTGATACACAAACCCGGGCATTAAATGAGGAGTCTGTAGACGTACGCATGAAAACAATAGCATCTTGAATGCTTCTGCAATTTTCTGTGACAGTCTCCGATACTTCATTTCCTAGTCCTTTGGTCCATTCGCGGAGTAGGCCAAATGATCCCATTGCAGACCTAATCCGGCAGCCCAACGCGTATGCATCTCGCATTGCGTCAGAAAAGGCAGAAATGTCGAAAGGCGTATACGGTGACACCATGGTTCGGCGACACAAGCTGAGTATTCCGACGCGAAAGCTGCCCTTTTGGCTACATTTGATTTCAATACCTGGCTGCATGTCCATTGCAAAGCGCAATGCTGAAGCATATGATCGGCCACGAGCAATCAATGTTGCAACGCAATTCATTTTTGAATATTTGCCCACATCCGCGGTCTCGGCACCATTAGACACCGACGTCATGCATGACGTGCCGCTTGATTTGACCGAGCTCGTGTATATATATGGAGCGAACCATTTGACCGAATCCCCACTCATGGGCGATGGGGGCGGATACTGTTGCCGTGCGAGAAGGGATATTCTCACTTATGTCTGCAGGACTCTGTGTAGCATTTCCGGGATGCGATATTTGATGTCGAGGTTTTGTTGGCTTCGGTCAAGTTGTCCGTTAACACTGGGACCGATGGAATTATTACTCCCATGTCCGCCTGTCGTCGTTCCCATTGGTGCTAACCTATGGACATATCTGTTCCGCACTAACATGTTCCTAATCGAAAAGAGCAAGGGCAGAACGTCTGAACGGACGAGCGCATTGGTCTACGTCAGGCGTCGAAATCAACGGCCACCATTAAGCAGCGGTCGGGGCGTCTTTCCCGCACTTGTACTTCAACCTATGTATGAATCGAAGCTTTAGTGGTTCCAGATACTGGAAGCATGGCTCATGACGCACCAGCGGCTGCGCCGTGGCGCTGTCAGGTTTCCAGGGCGGGACGGCCCCCGGCTGCGAATTTGGAAACGTTTGGCCCGCCGCAGCAGCCCAGAGACGCGCGTCTTCAGTACTTGCCCACTTGCGCTGGTGGTGTTCTGCTTTGTTCAAATTCTCCAGCGCATCAACAGAACGCTTGTTCATTGCTTTCAGCCTGTTAGAAATAATCCTGGAGCCTCCTTCCCCTGTCAGAGGCGTACGTAAGTATGGACTCAGTCCGAGGCTAGTCCATGCAGCAACCCATGCACCTCTCCCCGGTGGCGCTTAGTAGTCCTTTCGGACGTTGCACGTACATTGTACTGAAGTAAAGCATTGTAGACCTCGCAGCGTGGAAATCCCGGCAGATGAACCTCCAATCGTCAGCCCATAGCTTCCGCATTATAAGGGCCGCATTCTCGTCTGACAATATACCTTGACCTACAGCGTCTCAGTCTTCATCCGAAAATATCCACGTTATGATCGTGTTCTGTGAGAAGATCACCTCATACGCAGTCCATTCTTGAGAAAAATAACCGCCCAACCCATCTGCCGAGTGCGTTGTGCAGTTTCTTCAATCAGCGACAATTGCACAATGCGAGAAATGTCATTACAACGTGCTTGTCCTGATGTTACGAGAGTGCCGTCACGACAGATGCGATATCGTAGGCGGGCCACTACACGCCCGATAAAGACCATAACATATTGCCACTCATCGTTATGCGTCGCGGCAGCTTCCCAAAGAGATGGGGGTAAGCCCATGGGGCCAGGTTCCCTGAATCGGAGGCCCGCTCCCGGAAGGGGGGGGACCCGGGGCCTGATACGTCTTTACGGGCGGGGCATCTTCATCCCTCCCCTGGCGAAGCCAGTGAGGGATGAGCCCCGCATTTGCAGCGGGGAAGTCGCGCCTCTAAGAAGTCCATGATCTGGTGCCTTGCACAATGCACTTCGCTTGTCAGGGTATTGAATCATCCCTGAGTCTAACATTGACTCCTTGATGGCCTCCAAACTTGCGACGTGCAATAAATGCCAATGGCATTGCGCCATTTCAAATTCACGCGGGGCGCACGTGCGTTCTATGCTATGGGCAAAACAAGAAGGTCCCTGACATGCACGAAAGAACGCAGGCATGGGCCTGCAAGTCCGATCAGCTCGACTAATAGAAACAACTATGCTTCCATTTTCCTCATCAACAACTGTGTCGCATGAGGCGTCTGGGTCTAGAAAAAGCTTCCAGTACTCCATCAGTGTTGTCTGGTCAAGAAGCATAATGTCGTCAGCCTTTATTCCAAGGATGTCAACTACGCCCGATGATAATATTGTTAGACCATGCGCAGCAAGGGCAGTCGCGGCGCGCGTGATCCCATGACTTGTCGTTTTCCGAATGAGGTCACCAACGTACACCCACCCGCCCGATGATCGAGCATATTCGGCGCAATGTCTGGCCATGTACACTGCGCATTCACCGGTAAATTCAGCGTCATGATGCTTGCGGTGGCTACATTTTCGCCAAAAATCAGGGTTCCCGAACATTCTGGACTTGTTGCCTTGTCTAATTATCTCCGCCTCCGCTTCCTCTTTGGGCGCCCGAAATGGGCGCGGACAAAATGGGTGCAATGCCCAGCGACAAATGTTGTCCCGAACCAAAAGCGGCCGCTGTTGGGCAGGCGGCCTTCTGTCTCGAATGGAGACAGGCCGCGGCGGCGTGGACAGCGAATCCTGCGCAAAATGAACAGGAACTGCTGTTGGGCACCGTGCCTATTCTTTCCGCGCCCACTTCGGGCGCCCAGATCCTCGGCTATGCCGGTAGCGTCGTAATTACAGGAGCAAGGGCTGGATAGACTTCCTGGGGAAGGAAATTTGGCCGGTCATCTGAATCAAATTCTGCTCTGGGAAATTGAATTCCTTGTTCAAAACCATCTGCACTTATCTCCCCAAGCAGCGTCAACGCTGGGTCATGTACCGCGTCGGCATTTTCCTTGATCGCGTTATAGTCGCGCCCGCGAATCGATGCAACATGAGGCGGCGCAGGGCCTGCCCTGTGGGCGTCAATAACTTGTTTCCGAATTTCATCACTCGTTACATAACG